TAAACAGCATTTTACATATTACATTCAACTGCTCTAATGGGGGCATACATAATTATTATTACAGAAAATATTACAAAATAATTTTATTCAATTTACTTATATATGATATATAAAACCTGTTATATACAATTTATTATATGAATTGCATTATATAAATATCCTTTACATTGTAATAATCTCTTCCACGAAGTCTTCCCTGATACTGTCTTCATCCTCTCCATCTTACCCTAGCTGGAAGAACATTCCTTCTGAGCTTGAAAAACACTTGGTGTGGCTGTCCCCTGGAACCCCTTAGGATAGAGGCATTGGCGCAGTGCTTTGTTACATGCTTAGTGGTTAAGAGGTGGGACCTGGATCCAGACTTCTTGAACTTTTAGCTCCATCTCTTACTTTCTGAGACCAGTGCCTCAGTACCTTCCTCTGTAAAGTGGGGGTAAATAATAGTACCCACCTCCTACAAGTTGTGAGATTTAAGTGAAGAAAGTGCTTTTACTGAGGTCTGGCATGGAGAAAGCTCAATTAATGCTAGTAATGATTAGACTCGCCATATTCTGCTCCGCACTGTGGTTCACTCTATGCATGTTTTACCCCTCCCTCCTAGAATCTCACAAGTTCCTTTGGATGCATGGCCGGGATAGGTTTTTAATCTGCTACAGTCTTGAAAATAGTATGCAAGAACTGCTACTCAAAGCAATGGCATCGCAGCCTTCAAACAGTCCAGGGCCCCCAGAGACGGCACCTTCCCCAGATCTATCCTCCCTTTTCTCCAGTGTTATGGACTGAATTGTGACCCCTCCCCAAACCTACATGTTGAAGTCCTAACCCCTGATCACTCAGAGTGGAGAATGGGACTGTTTAACAAGGTAATTAAGGTAAAATGAGGTCACGTGAATGGGTCCTAATCCAACATGACTGGTGCCCTTAGAAGAAGAGGAGATTTGGACACAGACACAGGAGAGAGAGATGACACTGACAAGCAAGGAGAGAGGCCTTAGAAGAAACCAACATGCCGACGCCTTGATCTTGGACTGGTAGCCTCCAGTCCAAGTGAGGAAAACCAATTTCTGGTGCTTAAACCACCCAGTCTGTGGTATACTGTATGGCCGCCCTAGCAAACGAAAGGACCCCACCACTCTATTCTCTCTCACACGAATATGCTTCCCTCTTCCGTCTGAAATCCTTCCACCCTTTGCCAGCCCTGCTTCCCTAGTGGTGTCCAGGTGTCATGGCTGCCTGCGTGCCAGCGGTCTTTTTCCCGTGGATTTTTTTTTTCCCCCCCACATCTGAACATTTTTCAAGTGTGTTCCATGAGAGGATCATTAGTGTTGCAGGGAAGTGGGTCTCTGAGGTCATGGCCACTAGATGTGGTGTTAATCCAGGCTGATTAGGTTCTGCAGGACTCGGAGCACTGCGGAGCTTCAAGAGGGAAAGGTGCGTGGAGGTGTTTCTTTACTATTTGTTCATGGAATCTTCTTTTCACCGAGCATCTCTCAGGACTAACAGTCCTCCAACACCACTAGCTCAACTATACAACTCCTAGTGGTGATACTTGGAGGTGGAGACACACGGCTGAGAAAGATTTTGAGTTTGTGAAGTAGGCAGGCCCCCCTCCAACTACACCAGTGGGAAATAACCTAGAATCAGGATATCAGAGCTGGAAGGGCCTTGGATTATTCTGTCCCATGTGAAGATGAGGAAACTGAGTGATTAGAGGGCTGACCAAGGCCACAGCAGTGGGGGAGTCGCCAATGTCCTGGGACTCATCTCTGTGGATGGTCTTTAAGGAATCCAGGGTTGTGTAAAATGTGAGGCTTTGAAACACATCCTTCTCATGTCACCCTTTCTGACGAGTGTGAGAGGTTTCCAGGTCCCCAGCCATCACACTGGGCCCGCTCCTGCTGCCAGACTCGACTCAATCTTACTGATTCAAAGTCCCCAAAATTCCAGAGACCAAATCCTCAAGTCCGGTTTTTGGGTCTGGCATGATTGATCAGTTCATTTTGTATGACAGCAAAAGCCCAGACTTTGGAACTAGGTCCAAATCGCAGTTGTCACCCAGTAACTATGTGAAAATAAACACACTGTACACAGCTTTTCTGTCAAAAGTGAAATATAACACATAAAGTGACTATGGTTGATTTACAGGAATGGAGAAACAGGATTTAGCATAGTGGCCACACACATCAGGCCTTTTAAAATATGAGTTCCCATTCTTCTTCTTAAAACTAGGGATCTAGGGTAGAGTTACACTCAGCGAGACTATGAAATCCCTAAGGGCAGGAACTATCTCCTATGGCTTGCTCCCTGCAAATCAATTTGTAAAGAGGTAATTCTCTCAGTGAGAAAGCAAAACAAGCCACCAGTTTAAGGGTACGCTGACCTGCTGTGTGCCCTTATCTCCTTCTTAATCTTCTTCCACTCCATTCGGGTTTAACGTGGCTTTCCACAGATCAAGGACTGGAATTCAATCTGGAATCACGACCCAGATGCTAGTTTCACTAGTTTGGGAGCAGTTTTAATGAAGATGGAAATGTTTATCAACTCAACACAGGTACCCCAAAAATATAAAGCAAAATAGCATCTTCAGCTGCATAGCAAATATGATTTAAGAATTTAACATCATTATGTGATCACAAGCGTCAATAGAAGTCACCATAAATAAATGTAAATTCATTGTACAAAAACCCCCAACAACTCTTAATACAAATATGGTACATCTGACAGTTTCTGAAACAGATTTTTTTTTTAAAACTTTTTAAAACCTAAAATAGTTTTTTCCTGGTTCTCAGACACACATAAAATCAGAACGGGGACCAAGGAGGAAAGAATATTAAGCCTGTTCGGTGCTCATAGATAAATACTGCTGACAAGCTGTGGAAATGAAATGACTCTTCTGAAGGTGAAGACCTCCATTTACTGGAATCAAATCTCTGGAGGATAATGGGATTCCTCCCAGAGGGTCAAATTCAGGGTTATGAATGCAGAGCAGGAGGGGCAGATCGTCAAAATAGTGATGTCATCTAATGGATGATCCAAATCTCCACAAAGCAACAGTCAAGGATCTGAAATGCTCTCTAAGACTTGAAGGCTGGTTGTCTGTCTGAAGAGCTACTGTGCCTGGACAGGACTGAAGATTTAGAAGGCTTAGAGATTTTATGTGAGTTTTGAAGGAGTGTAGTTTCTATCGTGTAGTTCTATCATGTGGCGTAAACCTCTCTCTTTTGCCTTTGGGATATAGCTATGGTCAAGAGGCAAAAATAAGAAATCAGAATAGGAAGTAGCACCTCCAGACAGGAGGATCTGCTACCTTCCACCCTGAATCAACTTCCTTTCCTACAAATATTTTCTTTCATGGCTCAGAGGGAGCTCAAAACCCAAGGTTAGCAGTGGGGAGGGGTCTTCAGACGGAAAACTCAGAGAGCTAGTGCAAGAGCAGATCTCTCGACTTTATTCCCACAGATTCAGAATTGGTGGGTTTGAGGGAGAGCCCAGGAATTGGCATCAAATGTGCCAATCTCAGGAGGCCTTTGGACCACACTTGGTGAGCCCCTTCTCTCCTCCCATGAGTGTATCACAAACCTCTTGCTATGGACACAGCTCTGCTCGTTCCATGGGGTCGAAATAGCCCATGTGATTAATGGTAACCATTTCCTTTCATCTGTCCTGAGGCAGGGGATCATTACTGTTCTATTTTCTCTCTTTTCCTTTCCTTCCTGGGCTGGGGAGGTGGGGAGGTAGAGAAATAAATGTCTCACTTTGTATTTTCTTCCAAGCTCACGGGTCACAGACTCCCTTTGAAGATGCAGTGATCTGTAGTGAGACATTCACTTCCAAAGGCTCCCGTCCTTCTAAACAGT